CCATTCTATCTTGAGCAACATGCAATTGCCTTGACTACACACCTCTATTGACATGCCAGTGAACTCAGTCAGTATAACCCAAAGTGCAAGGTTCTAAACTGTTTATCACGTGTTAATAGTCATATGGAGCTTGGGCTTAACAATTAGTTCAAGACTTCTCATTCCCTTCCTCAAGCCCAATTGTGCTGAGGAACCGAATGCCCCCTGCCCTCAATCCTTCTGATCCAAACTTTACCCACAAGTTCTTCAAACTCTTGGCTTCTATTATCGGAATCTTGATCAGTCTATTGGTGATCATACAGCTGTGCCATGGATGCCAATCAATCGTAGCTTAGACAATCAGGCACTATCATGAATTCCAACATATTCGAACTATCCTCAGAAATGTCACACCAGACCTCCCCTTCCATGACCTCCCTGCCTCTGCCTGACAGTCCTTCCGAGCCGCAGAAGGAACAGACCCTGAAAGCATCTCTGAGAGCTCGGCTCAAGGGCGTTCTAGGGAAGAAGAAGAGGACCAGCATCAGCAGCAGCACACATACCCCCCGCGACCCCTGACAGCAGTCATCTGAAACCCTGGAAACCCTTGGGCTGCAGGGTTTCAATGACCCAGACCTGACACCTCCATCCCGTCTCTCCAGCACAGTATTGCAGCAATCAGGCCAGCAACCCTCATCTCTAGCACTGGCCTTGGGCACCATGCTAGAGACTCTCTAGATGCCCCACGGATGGCTTGAGGAACCCACAGTCCCAGGGGCTATGGGTTCCAACACACCATGTCAAACTGAAGTAGAAGCACAAACAACAGAGACAACACCTATTGGAATGACGACAGCAATGAGCACCACTGGTGGTGAGCCACTGCCACCAAGGCCAACAGGATGGAGTGCCGCCCAGCTGGCAGTAATACTAGCAGAGCAGAAAGCATACGAGAGGTACCAAGCAGAACATGACCAGCCAGCCCTGTCATCCCGGGTCCCTTGAGAGAGAACCCGGTATGATGTGCCTGAGACCTTCCCGAGTATAGGCAGGACCAGGCACATATCAACAACGAGATTACGAGGGAGAATGCCCTCTTTGGGAGGTATCTCTGGGCACAAGCAGCAGAGGAGTGCAGAAGAGGCGAGGGAGGTAGCAGGACCACAACCATCATCAGAACCACCACCCCTGACTCATCTTTCCGGTGATATGCAGGCTACATGTCCAGCCCTATAATTT